TCTTCGCCGCCATTGAGGTGTATAATTAAGACAAAATTTTCCTCATTGAGCTCTAATAATAATTATGAAAATCTAAATAAAACAAAACGCAAGTTGTTCGCCATTAAAAAGTTCTATCTCTACACGTAACCTTTCCCCTCCTCAGTCCCATCAAGCATATTTCTCCTTCCTCACTTTGGATATTAGTCTTTGGGCTAATCCAATGGTCCGATGAGTTTGGGTCATATCCAGAAAATGGGGGACTCTTGTTTAATTAGTGTACAAGGCCCGAGTCCTTAGGGATCCACTAGCTGTTTGATGATGAACGAGTTGGTCATCAATGGATAAATAGCTAATTAGTGGAATTAGCGAAGCAAGCCTTGCTCATTAGTCTTTGCGAAAGGAGGCGACCATTGCCCGCCTTCGCTCGACCTTGGATTCGGACCTTTCAAAGTCGCAGTGAGTCCATGTCGAATTCGCTAATGAAGATGGTACTGGCGATGGTCCTTCCTTTTTGATTTCCTTTATCAAATCGATAAGTTATTTGAAGGCATTTTCTATTTGTGTGTGAACAAATCTAATTAAAATACCTTTCTCGTTATTCATTTAAATTTAAGACAGTCTTGGTGAGTGGACTCGAAACTGTGCAAATCTCACCGTGCTCGGAAACTAAGATATTTTCTTCACTGAACTGCGAATGCAGAATATTTGGTTAGAGTTTTAGTTCTTATCTTTTGAATGTTCTTATTAGGGATGGGACATTCGAATCCTCGAATTTCGCGAATTGTAAAAATGATTCAAGATCAGAAAACTGGTATTTCTAACTTTTTTTTTTTTTTTTTTTTTTTTTTTTTTTTTCCCGGTATTGGAATCTAAATTTAGAAAACTGTTACACGTTTTAAATCCAAACTTTTGAATATTAATTTTATTTTTTTATTTATTAATATTATTTTAATTTCAATATTAATTTTGAATATATATGTTCAATATAAGTGTGACTCAAAATAAAAGTGCGATTGTTGCAATTTCAGTGGTTATCTGCATGATTTGTATGAGTGCTGCACTTTGTATTTTTTGGAAAAAATTTGGCTTCCCATGTTTAGTTTAAATCTGCATTAACTGTTCAAATAATCCTTTCCTATTGCTTTGATGCAAACAATATTCTGGAAAAATGGAAAAAATTTGAACTGTTAGTGAAATATTTTTAGCACATTATGTTGAGAAAATCAACGTTAAGATTCTAGAGTTCTGAATACGTACACCTTTACTAATTTTATTTGCCACCCAACCAGTATAGTGGTTAGCGACGCTGACTGCCGTCCCGAAGAGCTCGGGTTCGAATCCCGAAGAAGGTTGGATGTTTGTAAATGTATAGTGCCCGTGCGTTATGGCGGCACTTTAAATAGGCGACGTGTCGAAAGTCCTCTCGAAAGGTTGATGTAGTGGAAGAAGGGTGCAAGACCCTAGGAACTGTCCTTCTTCCACGGGATGCTTTCCATTAAAATTGGGGGCGCAACTGAACAAAAATGCACTGTCATCTGTAAGGTGCTCAAGGTTATTGCCAAAGACAGGCGTAATCTTGCACTCCTTGCCACGGGGAATTTTGTAGGCATGGACTGACAGATCAGTCAAAAACAATAACAAATTAATCCAAAGGGGGGCAATTTGCTCAGAAGGGCTGTTAATTGCGTTTTGGCATTATGCGTCGATTCATTACAAGCGTTGTTTCACTTTTCAAATTGTTGCCAGTAAACATTAGAGCCCTGCCTTGTATTTAAAGAAATTAAATAATGAAGAAACTGCATAAATGTACATATGTTTCTCGCATTGTGATAAAACAACGGTACCTGACGCTATCAAATTTGAATAACGTAATCTTCCACTGAATATGGGCTTGTGGAAGCCGCATTTGGAATATGAAATTTGTTTTATTATCGATTTAATATTTTGTAACACTTTAATGAACTTCTGATTAACAAACTCAATGATTTCAAAGCGAGCAATGGCAATGCTGTACGGAAGGGGGGGGGAAACATTTTTTATCTCCAGTACGCGAAACTATGTATCGGAAATTCTAAAGATATGCTTATTTTAAAATTATTTTGCGCTATTGCTCTCGAACTGAATTTTAAGGTTTAAGTGCGAAGAATGATAATTAATAAATAAGGGGGAAACCACGCCCCTTTAGTTGTAATTTAAAATCAGAACGATTTCAGATTTTTTTTTTAAAGTTCTTTTTAGTCCAAAGAAATTTGAATCCCGAAGGACTATTAGTTTCGTTTTGGCATTTTGCGTCGGACGGATAAATGTCGGTTCACTTTTCAAACTGTTGCCATAAAATGTTAGAGTCCTGCATTATATTTGAAGAAATTAAATAATGAAAATCTGCGTAAATGTATGTATATTTCTCACATTGTCATAAAATAACGGTACATAGAGTCATCGAATTTTGAATAACGTAATCCTCCAACGAATATGAGCATGTGGAAGACCAAATTTGAAATTTGAAATTTGTTTTATGATCGATTTCCTATTTTTTAAAACTTTGACGAATTTTTGATTAACAAACTCAAGGATTTCAAAGCGAGCAATGGCAACGTTGTGCAGAAAAAACATTTTTATCTCCAGCGCGTGAGTCTCTGTATCGGAAATTCTAAAGATATGCTCGTTTTAAAACTATTTTGCGATATTGCTGTTGCACTGGATCTTATGGTTTAAGTGCGAGGAACATGATATTTAATAAAGAAAGGTAACACACAAAATGTTAAAAAACGCCCCTTTGGACGTAATTTAAAATCTGAAACATTTCAGATTTTTTTTTTTTAAATTTTTATTTTCGTAATGAATATAAGTGTAATTTTTAAAAACGGCATATTTAATTTGTTTTCCATTAAAGTCCGATTTCATAATCTAAATAATAGCTATTTTATAGATTTTTGAGAATCTTTTATTGGGATTCGAATTTCTGTTCAGAAATGCGCTCAACGAAGATTACGTAGCTGATAATTAAAACACCTTTATTTCTGTTTTTTAAGAAAAATTCCAAGACATTTTCTCCCAATTTTAAACGACAGTTTTTTTTTTTTATTGCCTAAACGGACGCAATTCTATTTAACTAAAATTAAACTAATTTAAATTACTTTATTTTTGCTAATCTAAAATAATAAAATTAATGGTATGTCACGTATTAATAAATGCTTTCCCTTAGTTTATTAATCAGTTTATGATTTTAACGAGAAAATATCACTTAAGTCTGTTGGTGGGGACTGAAAATACGTGAATTAAATAAAAACAAGCCTAATTTTACGTATCCAGAAAGAGTAGAATTTATCCGATTAACCAGAGTTCCAAATATCTAGAATCTGGATATAAGATTTTGTTGTGTGTTAATAATATAAAATTTTTCAAGAGTAATGCATAATATGAAAATATTATGAAATGCATTTATTCGCAATCATTCCTGTTACGCCAGGTATATATCCTGTAAATTGTTCTTTGCTCTCTTGACATCCGAATGCAAGTGTCATCTGTTATTATGTAAGGGAGAGAGACAAAAAGAGATCCAAATTTTTGTTGTAATTTGTGCCGTCCGCAAGTCGTTTTCGTTCTTGATACAATTGAGTGTCTCTTGCTTTTTCGTTAAAATGCCATTCTGGCCTGCTTGGTAAGCTTGATTAATAAATTTTTGTATCGTAGATAAATTATTTGGGTAGCTATCCTCATATTTGGGTTATGTTCAGAAATGTGGATTTGGTTTGGTTTGATTGATTAAGGCAAAGCACGCAAGAGCTATCTGCCTAGAAGGAGGGATACCTTCGTGGAGGACTTTCATGTGATTTTTTAAAGGAAAGTGACTCGTATAGATATTACACATAGGAAAAACCGCGAAAACGCCCATGCAGCCCATGTATCAAATACAGATCGAAACTACCAAAGTTCAGAGATTTTTTCCACTCGGCCGCTGGTGAACTGAGAGGTGTAGAATGGATTGATATTTATAAATGGTTTACCCTTCCTTTTTACTGTGAAATTTACCCTGTGTGCTTCTCAGCGAAGCTACTGTCTAGGATGTGTACCTAGGTACCCGATGGTCTGACGAGTCCTAGAGCGGTGTGGCTCGAGTAGCCCGGGGGGGGGAGGAAGTAGCGCCGTTGGGTTCGCTGGGTAATATCCCGAGCGACTGGCAGGTAGCAAATTGACCACCAATGTCGCTTTAAGCGATGTGTCCTTCTCTCCGAGATGCGAGGGCGGAGATTGAACCTCTGTGCCTGGGGCAAATAAACTCATTATGCGGTTCAGTCTCGCGGTGTGAGGAAGCCCTATATATCTTATTAAATTTGTAGTTTTTAAACAATTCATTCTATTAAAAAAATGTTTTTTCGATGTCACCATGGGTCGTGCATTGATGCATTGTTATGACCTACAAATGTCGTTGTAGTTATCAGTAGCATTCAAGGATTGCATCACAAGGAATGAAGAAATAGATCGTACTGTCTCTCGATCCATTGTGATGAACTGTTATGTTTTCAGCGAACGTCGTGATTTTGATAATGTCCTACAAGTTCCGAAAATACGAGTTGCGAAAAAGTAATCTTTTTCTTGTCGTGTGACTACAAATATCTACCTATGATTAGGAATTAATTTACAATTTTTATGACTTGCAGAAGTAAGTAGAACAAAAAGAAAATAATTTTGCTTCGTTTCGTCCATTTTTAAAGAATGAACATTTTTATTTGATAGCCACATTCCAAAAATTCTTATCTCTAACATGTAATTTTAAACGATGTCATTCTGGAATCTGAAATCTGCAGCACTTCTGTACTGATTTTAACATATTTTACAGAGGATTCACTTTTGCGGTAAATTGTTAAGAATTTGATCCGCAAAAGGACACTTCAAAATGACATTATTTTGGATTTGAAGGATAATTTTTGTTGTAATATTAAATATTAATAATAATGTTTTACACTATCAAGTACACATATGAACGCGGACTTATTTTCCTTTTCTTTTCTTTTCAGAGGTCGCCCAGCGATGCTAGCCGGAGCCGATGGGGAGGAGGAGCTGAGCCCGTATTGGGACCCTGCCGACCCTCTCGCCCCGTTTGCATCGTCCGAAGACTCCTTCTGCGACTGCCCCCCAAAGCCTCCGGATTTCCTGATTCCCCCACCACCGGCGCCCCCGGCCTCAGCCCTTTGCAGGGGCGGCAGCGGGGAAGCGGGTCATCTCCAATTCTGCCAGATGGAGCCTGTGGGGGCGGAGTTCACACAAACCGCCTTTCCCTCCCTACCTATCATCGCCGTTTGTTCGTCCGTCGTCCTCGTCGCGGTGCTCGTCGCCTCCTTCCTTCTATGGAAGTAAGTGATACTTCTCTTTATTACACAAAATCACAGATTCATCATCTTGCATAAAGCTATTGGGATTGCGTGGAAAGGACTTTTTATAGTGTCATTAGTGTCCCTTGTGTGCACCATAATAATATTGATTATGTTTGAATGTCTTTCGAGGACCGACTGTAATGAAATTAATTACGGTTATTATTGGTAGCACAAAATAGATTGCCCAAGCGGAAATTTGCAGTCGTATGACAAGATTAACTACACCAATGAAAACATCTGCCATTTTATAGCTAGGCCGTAGTAATAATGTTATCAATTTTGTGAATTAGTTTATAGCTAAAATTTAATGACTATGTAATGAAGTTTTTATGTCATAAAGACGTAAGCTTTTTATGAAAAAATCTTGCATTTAAATAGCTAACCATCACGTACGGATTATAACAGCTACAAACTTGGTATGTGGTTCTGCTGCAATACAGTTGGACGTCTTTATGATAAGTGCCATCCATCATATATGTTGGTACTAAGCACGCCAGCGTTCAACAAAATAGAAAGCTTCCCCAAAATACCTCAGCACAGATCGGTGATCCGGGATTCACTGTAATCCAGGGTAATCAACCAACAGCATTGTAGCACTGTTTGCTACTTCGATTAATGAAATAAATGAAAGTATTTCTTACATCAGGATTTCTTAAAATTTTTTCAGTCGCGACCCCCTTTTTATCACTGAGATTTTTTCGTGACCCCCAGGACCCCATAATATTTACAAAAACTTTGTGGACCATAAGTATTGCGAAAATCCGACGCACGCGTGAGTGAAACTGTCAATTTTTTCACTTGTACTGTAGTATACTATAGCAGTTCTAGGTCATTAACTTTAATTTCTAATATTAACACATAGAACAGTGTGAAAATTTTAAATAAGTAACAGACGAATTGACAGCGTCACGTGCAAAGCAAGGAAAATGAACATTTATAAAAAGAAATGCGTCGAAACGTTTTCGTTTTTTTCTTTGTCTGTATTGTCTTATCTTTATCTATTTTCAGATACATTGTGTACCGCCGGTCCGCTAGAATTATTTGCCGGTCAGCGAAATATCCAGCTATCTGTCCAAAATCCAAAAGTGTCATCGGCCGATAACCGATATTACAACAGCACCTACATTACAATAACAATAGTTTACTAGTTTAGCATTTATTTATGTGAAAAAATTGTGCCAATGGGTTGAATTATTAAACTTGCCGGTCCGCGTGAACGTACCTAAATATTTTACCGGTCCTTGGAATAAATCCAGTTCAGAAACACTGGTCTAGAGAACCGTTGTGGAAGTGTCTGCTTGGGTTAACAATGTACTTGCTTACAACGTTGCGCAGTTATGCAGAGGACCTACTGTAATAACCTCTACAATTAGATGTGGATACATCAGCATACATATTAAACAGTTCTTTAATTAATCTGTTTCTAACAGTAAATAATTAAAGAAAATGATTGTGAGAATAGGTTACAGGCGATAAATCCGAATCGAGTCTAGAAATGATTTTATTTTATGAATTAACTAAATAAAACGATTTTATTTTATGAATTTATGAATTAACTAAATAAAACGATTTTATTTTATGAATTTATGAATTAACTAAATAAAACGATTTTACTTTATGAGTCAATAAAACAATTTATGAATTAACTAAATAAAACGATTTTATTTTATGATTTAACTGAATAAAACGATTTTATTTTATGAATTAACTAAATAAAACGATTTTATTTTATGAATTTATGAATTAACTAAATAAAACGATTTTACTTTATGAGTCAATAAAACAATTTATGAATTAACTAAATAAAACGATTTTAATTTATGGATTAACCAAGGGTTTATCTAATCTTCTAACCGCGTTTCCGTTTGTTATTTTAAAATCATTTGTGAGTGAGCAACTTGACTTTGTAACAAAAGCACATACTTATAAATCGTGTTCCATTATTTTGCAACTAAGGAAAACGAGCATAAACAATGAATAGAATCATCAAGCATAACATGATAAGCATAATACTGAACATAACAATCTTCAGCATATTTTGAGATCCTCTCGTCTTCTCATCAAGACATCATTGAGTTACCGTTTGAGAACATTCGTACTAATCTAAAGCTCTCGATATTAAGCTTAGGGAGATTTAGATGCAAAAAAATTACGTAGAAATATGCTCTATTATTACATACCTTGTATACCCTTTAAATATTTAATTGAAATTAAAGCAGATGTCTATATTAAAAGAAAAGAAAAAGAACTTTGAATAATCGTAAAATGAAAACGGCATTTTTAGACTCAAAATTTATATTAACGCCAAAATAATGTTTTGAAGAATAATGTTTTGTTATCAAATTTTGCATTACGAAATAACGAAGAAAAGCAAAATATTATAGATATTCCTTAATTAAAACATACTGTAAAATGGTATGAAATTCTTAAAACTAATAAGATTGCGAATTTCTTTTTAAGTAATTTGTTTTTATCAGATGTGAAATTTTAAAAGAATACATTAATAATTGATACGACTGTACGAATTAGAAAAATTAAAACTTACATTTCATTTTAAATGCATTTTTAAACTGAAAGCTATTTTTGTAGATGAAATTTGTGTTGGAAAGTAAATTAAATTATTAAGTTAACAAAATTTAAAATTAAGGAACAAAAGAATAAAGTAATCAAAATAACCACTTCACTGATTTTATAAAAATCAATTGAATTACAGTAAGAAAAAATACATATAGCTATCTACCAGATATCCACCTGGGAAAATGTAGCACGTAATTTAGGATTTTGCTTTATTTGTTTATCTAATTATTCAGAGAGGGGGAAAAAAAAAAAAAAAATTGCAAATAAACTGAAATTTCTGCGTCGTTTTTAAAAACACGCCTTATAAGTATGCTTTTCGCAGTTCAGTTAGTTATCTTAGATTTGGATTATTTTTAATATATCTATTTTACTATTTAATTAATAATTTCACAATACTGAAACCGCATTTTTACGGAGAAGTATTAGAAACAGTTAAAATCTGTGTAAACCTGAATCCTCGCACTTTTTTTATGCAATACATTTATATTTTACAAGTAGACGTTAGCGCTTAAATCTTCTATATTTAAAATAAATTGTGTGTTTATTATATTTTTATCATAAAAACAGTAACTGAACAGTTAAAACTAACAAAATTTTATTTTCACTTCTGTCAATGGCATGAATTTGGGCATTGACCTGGCATTAGTCTTTGGAAGTCTTTTCTACTTTACGAAACATTGTATATTTTAAACCTCATATACAGGGTGATTATAATTAAAGTGACTCTATTCAGATCCATCTAGAACCTGTTCTGCTTATTGAATTTTGATGAAATTTGGTATATATGTTTATATGGACCATGGGGGAACGATTTCTGCAATAAAAAAATAGTTCGACATGGACCCTTTTCGCAATTCCTTTAAACGACGATATTCACGCAATGCAACTAAGCTATAGCCGCCTTTCTGATAAAACGGTTTTACCAGTAAACCTCGATCTTTCTTCTGTAAGGGCATGATTAACGATGACAAAGGCACGCAGAATGATTTTTTGGCTCTGACTGCAAGTCTGTTTATAAGTTTGACGAATTTGCATAAGGAATTTTGGAGAATTGCCATCTGGTGGTCAAAATTTGAACTATTTTTTTATTGCAGAAATCTTTCCTCCCTTCCCATAATCCATATAACGTATATAACAAGTTTCATCAAAATCCGATAAGCAGAACGGGCTCTACAGGAATCTGAATAGGGTCACTTTAATTATCAAATATAAGTACTAGAACTGAAAACTAAGTGCTACCTGGAGGAAAACCTAAGTAAATGCAGGCTCATCCAAAAAGAATACAACTATTTTGTGCATTAGTATTAAGCAATTATTTATAATAGTGAAACAATAAAAATATTTTAAGCAAAATGCTTGTCTTTCATTTCCTTTCTGGTGATGGCAGCATTTGGAAGGGAAAACCATCTGTTGTTGCAAAGAATTGCTGTTTGTGTATGTCCTCGTTCTTGCCTGGAAATAGTTGCTTGACTGAAAGTTAGATATTCAGGACACTTTGTACCGATGGGGATACAGCTTAGATTCTGTTTGTAACATGATGCCTTAAGAGATCGAGCTAATATCCAGTTCTTGGTCTAAATCTCAGGATGTCGATGTTGTGCGTTGTGAATGCACTGTCCAGGGCAGGAGAAATAGGAAATTCATACTTACATTACAAAGATTTCAAATTTTTTTATGACAGAAACTGCCTATCATCTGAGGATCTGTCCAGACGGTAATCTAGTTCCTTCTATGTATAGAACAGTAAATCCAGGTCGCATCAGTATTTTGATGGCTGTCCGAATCGTAGACCTTAAAAGAATTTCTTTTTTCTTAAAAGTTCTTTCATGATCTGTTGTTCAAAATGTAATTTTAGCACGTCTTGTACTAGGGGTGGTACATTCACAGCAACCTGGCCATGGGAGAAAATAATATGGTGTATTTGTCATTTTGTAAAATGGTCTTGAGGAGTGCAGCAAATGTAGCGTTATTTTTATTGTGCTCGTAAAAAACTTCATTGTAAATAATTATGCAGAATTTTGCTTTCTGTATAATTTTTTTTTTTTGTGTGTTTTTTTAACTAAAACCTAAGGCACACGCTTTAAATTATGTGAACATATATTTAAACCTTGAGCTGCACACAAATTAAGTATGTTTGCAAGAAAAACATTTTAAGGGAGAAAAAATTCGTCATCATATATTCGTTCCCATTTATGTAATTAATATAATTTGTCAACTAAGTTGCAAACAAAGTCCACAAATTGACGTAATGGCTATCTAAATCAGAACTTCTCTTCAAAAATGTATAAAATTTCTTTTACTGCCAGTGAATCCTTCTTTATCCTATAATTTAAGCGTGAGTAAATAAAAATAAAGTGCTTGATTTTACGGAAGAAAAATGTGCATTTACCTTCCTCAAATTT